CCACGTCTGAATTTAATCAACGGCTCCAGCATACAAGGAGGGGGAGGAGGAGGGAGCGAGACGGGATGCTGGAGGATTATATTACTTGGAAACTATCCACCGTCTACGTATACAGCCTCCGTAATAGTGCGCTAGTCGCCACAAGCTGCTTCGCGGCGAACCTCTTGGAAACGCGGCTTGAATTTCGAAAGAGTCTTCGCGAGTAGTTGGTCCATTCGGCAGGATGGAAGGGTTGGATTGGAGGCAGCGTGTTACGAGGGAAGAAAGCGATGAAGTCATCGAGCCAGAAGGAGCCCACTGGTGTACTTGTAGGCTCGATTACGTAACGAGGGTGAAAACTGTGACGGGGAGGGGGAGGGGGAAGGGGGGGCAATTAGAAAGAAAAAAGCAAAATGGCGAATACTGTGCGCGGAAGACGGGTTCTCGCTGGAGGAAAAAACACGAGCTAGACTCGGTGTGTCAATTACTTGACTTTGCGAGTGATCGAAGTAGAAGCTAGAAAGGCAAAGGACAAAGGGAAGAAAAATAAGTCCCCGGAGTCGGTTGTCAGCGTCGGTTTCACGGAGAAGATATCGCGAGGAAGTCGAAGAACAATAAATTCCGCGAGAACGTTTCCTATTAGCTCGAAGTGGCCGGAGTTCTGTCGTATATCAGCGTCAACTCATTGAGAATCAATGTCTGCCCATCTCGGCAAGTGCTTAGACTGAGTGAGAGTGACAAAGATGGATAGCACACACACACACACACATATATATATATATATACATTATCTAAGAGTACATTGATTCCCTGTCTCTCTCGCGCTTCGAACTCGTTGAATTACGGCCAAAGGTTTCGTCCTCACGGACGGCGAAGATCCGGGACTCCTCTTTTAATTAATCCTGGTCCCTTCGTGCCGAAATCTCCTACGGGATAGAAGAGAGCAGACTTCTCGAAGAATGTCGAGGTTTAACGAGAAAGAGAGACAGAGACTCGAAGGAAGAAGAAGAAGAAGAAAGACTAAGCCTGCTTCTTCGACTCCACTTGAAATTTCTTCTAAAGAGCTCGAGACGCACTCTCTCCCAGGATATAGCCACGATAACCGTAAAGGATTTTTAAGAAAACGGAAAAGAAAACGAGATAAAAGATGAAGGAAAGAAAAAAAAGGATCGAAGCACGAAGAAAGTTCTGGATCGAAATCTATTGCCGAGAGGAAGACCAAACGTCGCGCCACGGGACAGCTGATAAAGCCTGAGTGAAATCGCCCCTTGGCTCCGGCGGCTCCCGCGACTCCCGTTTCGCTATACGTACAATCCAGTAACTGCCAGGAGACACGACATCTTACCATTTTAATTGCTACTTGCGCGAATTAGACGCGACACTAGACGCCGGATTTATCGTTTTCACTCGTGAACGAGCAGCGTAAGTCGTCCGTGAACTAAACGGAACGTAAAACGTTGGACAACGGGATAAACAGTGTGCCGAGATTTTACAAGATTTCTCTCCTAGTCTTGGCACAGCCTGACCTTCGACCTCGGGATACAGCTTCGCCGTATTATCCGTTCTGCTACTAGACTGCCGATGAAATTCATTGGCAATTCCATTACATATTTATAGGATTGACTGAAGATATCGGCGGAACGTGCGAGGCGCTATCGCCATCGCCACCCTGACTACGTGAATACGTTGGCAGAAACGAATAGGGTAAAGGCAGGAGGCAGCGCGAGCCCCAGTTGCTGCCAGGGAAATAAAGGCTCTACCTTCGACCTACGAAATTATTAGGGACGTTCGCTCGTGTGCCAGCGCGAGAAGCGACGCCGCATTTTTTGCCTTTCCTCTCGCAGGCACCGGGCGCCTTTTTCGCACTGCGCTAAAAAAGGAAAAAGGTTTGCGCCAGAACCAGGATAGTCGCTCCGATTGCCAATTCATGCTGTAAAAATCTGTATATTAA